GCTTCTTGGATACGGTGTTGTACTGTTGTTATTTTCAGCTGATCAAGGGTAACTTGGAAGCTCAAAGAAATCTGTTTGTCACTTCTTCAAAAAAAGAAGCATGTTTCTCACCTTTCTCAAGTTCGCATCCTAACAGTTGCCGACAAGCCCAGCTAAGCAGACAACATGCTGCAAACTTGAAAGGGGATTAGGTTATGCAGACAGTAGTTTGATATTGCTTATGATAGGCTTACCACCCGCTTTCTCCTTCTTCTTCTTTTTGTTTCTAAAAAGGATTTTGACCTTCATCTCCTAATGTGGAAACCTTTTCCTATATATTGTATGCTACGTTGGAACTCCTCATTCATCTTGATGTAGCTCTTCAGTAGTAACTTATGGTATGGATAATTCGTTTAATCCTTCAAATTATACCTAAACCTTGTTAAGTTAAATGAATCCGTTGCGAATACTTGTATGTTGTACCTGTATGAATACATACTTGCACCAGAATCGGTGTAACATAGGTGCTTTCCTCCCGCTAGATAGAGCGGAGATAACTCATGAAAAAGAAAACCTTCCCAATTGAGCTTAAAGTTTTATTCTGTTTAGTTGTGATTAATTCCATCGTTCATCACATGTGGAACATTATTGAAAGCAAGTTGTAGTAGTACGAGATGACTTTGCAAGTATATAGGGGGATATAAATGGTATTATCATTGATAAAATTATTATTCTAACCCAAAAGCTTCAATAATCTCTTGTGACCAACCTAGCTTCAGCATAGATGCACTAAACACACACGGCCAAAAACAAAACGGGAGTTAGAGGAATGTTTCTCTCCCCACTTATTTTGACTTTGGCATTGCATGAAATGCAGACACTTGCTTCTACTGATATTATACCTAGCAACGACGCAGCAGAAAATTTCAGCGAAGGGTCATTAGTCGAAGTCAGCAGTGATGAAGAAGGTTTTGAGGGTGCTTGGTTTGCTGCAACTGTTGTTAAGCTATTAGATAATGGTAACTACCTGATAGAGTATCAGAACTTAAGAAATGACGATGATACCGCATTTTTGCAAGAAGAAGCTGATCGTTTGTATGTACGACCACGTCCACCTGATATTGGACCTTTTAAAAGCTTCAAAGTCCTTGAAGAAGTGGATGCTCTGTACAATGATGGCTGGTGGGTAGGTGTGGTTTCTAAAGTTCTTAAAGGGCAGAGATACAGGGTTCACTTTAAGGGGAACAATGAGGAGTTGGAGTTTGATCATGCTGATTTAAGGCTGCATCTGGACTGGATTAACGGAAAGTGGGTCACACCTTCCCAGGTACAGTTTTCTGAATGACTGAATTAAAAAAAAAAATCATGAATTAGATTAAACTTTTTGGCATGGAAGACCATGCATTTCTGTCCTGGGAAAAGATCATCTATAGTGATTCTTGTATTGTTATGTGACATATTGCTGTTTTTGAAAGGATATATATATATATATATATATATATATATATATATATATATATATATATATATATATATATATATAAAATAATAAACTGGAAATTAGAACTGATAAGGTTTCAGCATTTAGGTTGAGAAACTTTTGGTTCTCTCCTCTGTGACCAATTAGAATGAAACCCAATATGAACTCCGCCAGACCTTATTAACTGTCATTGTAATTCATACATTTTGGTTATGAGACAGAGTACATTATCTTAGTACAAAATCCTAGATCCTTTCACGCCAAGTTCCTGATCACCACACTATATGTGAAGGATAAAGAGAACCCTGTTGGATCCAAAGCTAGCTGCCATGGACTGCAATCCTCTTGTCCTGTATGGTACTTGTTCATACACATTTGGTTATTCTTCTTGCACTAGCTGATAGCCACTAGCCCTTAGAGTTTTGTAATACGCTTCTATATCATGACAGTTTGTTGAGATTAGGTATGGCACAATACCGGACTAACATTTTCTAAGAGATATTTGGTGCTTGTATGTGAATTGTGAACTAGACTAATACTTCGATGCATGTATAAACTCCTTGGCTAACATCATTATTTTAAAGCTATTAACATACGACTTAGTTGTGTTGTATCTTACATTCAACTGACCAATATTGACAAACTTCTTGATTTTTCCAGGCGTCGAAGTGATCTTCGAGAAATTGCAGTGTTGGGAGATTTGCAATGTGGATTTGTAGTGTAGCTTCTAAATGGTATATTGCTTTACTCACAATCGTCTTTTCATAATTTATCTTGTACTGAAGCAGTATTGTTGTGGTGTGATAGAAATGTACGTTAGATACATACTTTTCTTCCCTGTCTGAGTAGGAAAATCCTCAATTTGGTATCAATAGTATATTCTCAGAGCTTATTGTTGTGGCCTAAAAATTGGTTTTTGGCTTGTTGATTCCAATGGTTTCCTTAGTGTGAAATTTCTAGTTTATCTTCAAACCGTGGAGAGGCTGACCAAATTTTGTCTTGAGGTGTTCATCCCAATATGCATGGGTAGTCTTTAAGCAGTTTACACCAATTTCGTTTAACTTGTTTACAACCCAAAAACATTCCCTTTGAGTTGTATTTCTTCGGAATATCATTTTGATGATCCATCCCTCCAGCATAATCTATCCTGAAAATTGCCCTTGTAGGTAATCTTGTTAGTCAGTTCATGCATAGGACCCATGATTCCCTCCTTAAAGCCATAAAAAATGTATGTAAACTATATGCAATCATTTGTTCCCCAATCTCCCCACATCATATCCGAGCCTGTTCTTTACAGCATGCATTTATGCAATGTTGTGCTACTTTGTTGCTAATTTAGTGTTTCATATGTAATCTATTCCCATTGAGGGTGATTCAAAGCACTTTATTAAGTGCAGTATGTTTTATAGTTGAGCCATATCTAATCTCTCTTTATCTTTGTCTGTAGGTTTGACTGATAGTGTGATTTTGCTTAGGATTGTAACTTGTTGGGAGCCTCCCCCCAATTACTCAAGGCCTCCCATGAAAATAGTAGCTTGTACGTATTCTATATAGGATGTGTTCCTGCTTGGATTTAAAAAAATTGTCACAGCAAGCATATGAAATGAACTATGTACTCCTTCAAGGTAAAACCTGCAGGTCTCTCTATGTCTGTCCCAAGATTTGTTATGTTAACTTCACTTGTGTGTGTTGTTGTGTAATGTAAGCCAAGTCTATGGATAATTTTAGTTGTGCAAACTTCTATACCCCTGGTAAAGTGAGTGCTAAAGTAATCACTTCATATTGATGCTCCCCTCCCACACAGCCCACTCAAAAAGGAAAACAAAAGAGAAAAGACATGAAAGGTGAGAGATTGGCATAATTGCTATTGCATAATTGAAGGTTCCAAAGGAATGAGCCTTGTTATGAGTAATGCTGCATTTGAGAAGGGAAAATGATGTACTGCAATTTCATTGAATTGAAAAGGCAGGGAAAAAATTTCTCCGTATGTTCCTATGTTTGTAGTTCTTTCTTCGTTGATGTCAACTAAGAACAATTATATAAATTACAAATAACGCACATCAACTGATATAGTTTACCAATATATACGTTATACGCCCATATCGGCCTCTTGATTGCGAGATCTTAGCCTATAAGTTAATTGAACTTTTAGCCTGTTTGGCCAAGGCTTTTGAAAACTGCTTCTAAGTGTATTTTTCTCAAAAGTGCTTCTCAGAAAAGTGTTTTTGGAGAGTCCAAAACTGCTTCTGTTTCTTTTTCAAAAGCACTTTTTTTCCTTCTAAAAGTTTGGCCAAACACCTTACTTTTTGGCAAAAAAAAAGCACTTTTTGTTCAAAAAAAAAAGCTTGGCCAAACCCAAGAAATATGTCAAAACTATCACTCAATTAGCATTACTTCTTTTCTTTCCATAATTAGCATTTTTCTGAATAAGACAATAGCCAAGACTTGCATCGTAATTATATCTTACTTTCTGTACGAGCTACTTTTATCCTCCCTTTTCCTTTTTCCAAGAAATTTCATGATCTTCGGATTCTTTTTATGATTATTTGTACGATAATTCTACTTCAGGAAGCTGATCAAATTTTGGACAACTAAAACGTAGCGCATTGATAAAGTATATATCAATAAAGGTAGGTTTTTGGTATATTTCAACAAGAAGACTGATTCGCGCATGTCTTTTTGAGTTACGTACAATTGTTAGGTAAGTAATAAATTTAGGACATCTAAGCAACTTTATTCCATTCTGGTTACACGTATCCATCTTTCTTCTTCTTTAATACGATTGCAACTATATCTTCTACTCTTTTAAATTTCTTGCCCAACTCAACTTTTTCAGCTATCTTGACACAGTCGACTCTCTAAGAATGCCTATCTAACTTGAGAATTAAGACTTTTCATGGCCATTATATGAAGTTGAAAGGCAGGAAAGACCAAGACAAGTAAGATTAGATGACATTTGTAGAAACCTATGCTAGCTTAAGTAACTATTAACTTCTATATCAAGTCTTTCTATCTAAGTAGAAACAGAATTTTCTATAATCATTTAATTAGAAGGGTTGAATAATTGGATACCAGCTGAATCTGATTGCCCAATACAAATTTTAAAATGAAGGAAAATTCTGAGAAATCTTTTCATTTTCATTGTGATTTTTGTTTTGTTTTTCATTTATAATTATTGCCTCATCTCATATTATGCCCCATTTATTAATTTTTCCAGCAAGCCGATAAGTTAGAAAAAGATTGCATATAACATGTGGTTTAAAATATAATGTCATTGGGTGTTATGGAAGAATTAATTCAAATAGTCGTTCAACTAATCGCTTAATTAAAATTGATGGTGAAAGTATAATATGTACGAAATTTATGTGTATGTATATAATTATATGTAATTAATGTATGATTCATGCATTTGATTAGAAAAATAACCAATGAATATGACTGATTATTTTTATAAAAAATCCGTGTTATATCTGTCACAAGTTGGGGTTCAAGCAAGAAAAAGCTTATGGCTCATCCTAGTAAGACAGGTAAAGACATAGTATTCAACGAAATTCTTAGATTAGTGAAATAATAAGCATAGATCCACATATTCTCGAATGAGATGTCATGATCTTCTCAAGAATATACGTTCAAGGCACAAGAAAATTAACTCAAGATTTAAGTTTATTGTCACTAAATTGAACGAGTAGAGGATATAATTAACCACTTGAATACATCAAGATGGATAATCATCATCCTCAACTTAAGTAGTACAACAACTTTTGAGCAAAATAAAACTTTCCCTCATCATAAAATGAAACTTTTCTTTCTTTTTCAATAAGCAAAGATAATTAGATTAATTATGGATGCAAGCAAACAATATTTTTTCTTACACCTCTTTCACTTCCACTGCAGCAGCAGCAGCAGCAGCAACACTCACTTCTTTGTTCTCCTTGTTCACAACTTCATTCACATCTTCTTTGACTTCTTCTTTTACTTGTTCTTTCTTGGGCACATCAACCTCAAAAGCTGACACAGGAAAAGTCCTAGAAAGTCCAGATGTAGCCTTGAAATGGATTTTTCCAGTTGGTGGATCATCCACACAGATTTCAGTAAGTGTTAACCACATAAGGAGCTCTTTAGCTTTAACCCCAGTAAGTTTCTTGATCTTGTTTTGTTCAACAATGGCTGTCACTTCAGTTCCATATTGAACATGCCTTCCAATTTTCTCAAACTTGTGCTCAGTTTTTTTCTTGGATTTGAGCCAAACAAAGCCTGTATCCTTCACATAGCCACATTCTAACATGTCTTGCATGGGAAGTAGGCCATTTGGTAAACCTACTTCTGTTAGCAAGAATTTGGATTTTTCTTGGCAGATATCATTTCCAGTGTAGAATTCTGAGGCACTGGCTCTGATCTCATCTGTCACTAGAGACATTTTTGCAAACTTTGGGTTTTGGCTTACAATTTTTTTTTTATAAAAGAGATTGTATGGAATGAGATGGGATGAAAAGAGAGGTCCTAATATATAGATGGGAATATAATCATTTGCCCTTGTCTTTTGCTCATATTTCCAAAATGCCCTTACTAATAAATCAAGGTCAAACAAAAATGATAAGTTTAAGGGTCATCCATGTCTAAGCAAGCGTTTGACCATAAGTTTTGGATTTTTTTTTTCAAATTTGTTTGTTTATAAAATTAATCTAGTTTATTTTGGAGATTTTGAAAACCAAAACTTCAAATCCCAAATATAGCTTAACATCTCTTTTTGGGCCAAATCATGATCATTTGGGACTTTTTAGCTTGGAAAAAAGGACTTTTTAACATGTCAAAACTTGCCCCAAATATATTTTCAGTTTCAATCAAACTTCACCCAAATCAGTTTTTTCAAAAAATATTTGGGAATCTATGTCCAAACAGGTCCTAAATGAAAATTTGACAATATTATATAATATAAGAGTAACCAAAAACTTGGTATTCTAATTAAATTTGTAAAGTGTATAAAATTATGCACACAAGCTAATCCTGATAATTACATGGACCTATTTTTTTAACTAACAAAACAAACTTCCATCTACTCTAGTTAAAAGTGGAGTAGTAAATATCTCTTATGTAAAATAACAAATATTTCCAAACCCTTTATTGTGCTGATATTAGTTTTATCCTTCAGAATGCAGTCCATTAAGAGAGGACTAGAAACTATTTTGATATCAAACAAGCCAACATATGCATGAGATAACTAAATAGGTGAAAATAACCGAAACTTAGTTTTAAAATCATTTTCTATTGCTTTTAAATTACTAAAGAGTAAAGATATTTATGAATACAAATTCTTTTTGTATAATACAAATTTATTTGGCACGGACTTGTTTGCCATATGATTACTCCCTCCGGTCCACTTTAATTGATTTTTTGGTTGTTTTGACACAAATTAAAGAATTTATCTTTTAGTATTAATTAACAATAAAATTGACTATATTAACCTTACTTTGTTCATTGAAAATATAAAAGATATTCCTAAGCTCTTTACTCAAAGTGCAACTTTGAAAAAAAGAAGTTAATTCTTTCTTGATATCTACAAAAATCAAATATCGTGGACCATAAAAAAATATCATAAAATCACTTAAAGCGGACCGGAGGAAGTATATAGTATGCAGAAAAATTGGAAAAGGTGTGCTGCAATGCGCAAATATTAAATAAATAGGGTGTTATGAAAATTTAATGCAGAAATAAAAAAGCAGTTGGGAGGAGTAAGTGATAGCAACTAACCATTTGTAATGTAGTTGGAGAGGGTAACCTATTCTGCTGGAAGAATCTAACACCATCCCTATTTAATTTTATAGGCCTATCTAAAAACACAGTAAATTAAGTCATGGCTAATCTTTTCAATCAATGTCAACTACCACATTCACACCAAGAACCAAATCAAAACATCTGCAGCTCCATTCCTGGTCCCTCCCCTCTTCAACCTTTGAAAAAAAGAAGAAGAAGGAAATGTTAACTTCTCCAAATTGTTTTACTAGAAAATTGTTTCTTAAGGGGTCGTTTGGTTGGAATATGATTTATACCGATATAAGTTATGCTAGGATTAGTTATGCTGGGATTGTTATTTATTCATTGTTTGGTATGTTGTATTAAGAATGACAATTGCACAACTTCTAAGAAGAAGGTATAAGTTATACCGGTGCTAATTACCCCACCTTCTATAAGGTATAAGTTATCCCTGTGTTAAAATTAACACCGGGATAACTTATACCTGGTTTGCTAACCAAGCAGAGTATTAAGGTGGTATTAATTTTTTTATACCATCCTTATACCTTCTTATACCTCATACCAAATGACCCCTTAAAGTTTTGGTTATGACGATTGTTGTTTTTTTAAAAGATGAGGCAGCAAATCTCTATTTTTTTATTAAACATAGAAGGTTTTACATATCCAACTTGAGAGCATAATCTACAGAAAAATCTACATAAGAAGAATTTAAAAAATCCAAAATATCTCAACAAATTTAACCTAAAAATCTAACAGAAATTTAACTTCAAAAACGTAAATTTATCCTAAAACTAAGTAACTTATTATACTAAAAAAGTTACTGTGATAACTAAAAGCAATCAAATTTCAACAACGATCGAAACAGGGGTTAGCGACACCCGGAAATTTCGGCAAAAATTCTATGTATATTTACAAATGTCTTTAAGAAATAGTCGGATATTAGCATAGGTTCTCGTACCAATCTTTATAAACAGTAATAGATTTATACTGAATATAATGGTGTCCCACGACTATCGAATCCTAAGTCCATCTCAACCGTAGCAGAATAATAAGTGGGGAGATTTAGGTTTAAAAATTGGTAGGCTCCCACTAGACTAGAGGAATTGAGAAATTAATTGCATTCAAGATTTAGGTTTAAATATTGTATCTTATTCTGATCGTTCAAAGGATGAACGTGTTCCTTTCTTTACTGTGAACTTTTGTATTCCTTGCCGGTAAGCTATTCTTTTTTACTTATCTCATATTCCAACTTTTACATAAAGTACATAGTTATTATAAATGTTATTGATGTGAAATAATATCCAACATTTTAATTATACTAAAACCACTTCAAAATATAAATAACCTTCAATGACTTATATATAGTAGAATGAGATGAAGAATCGTTGGACTGACGATAGTACTGATCCAACTCGAATTTTGCACCGACAGATGATAATTGAAGTAATATATTTATGATAAAATCGACATCAATCCTAGAAAGAGTGCTACTTACAATTCTGCATTTGTGGCCTATTTTAGCAACTATACAAAAGACTCTTTGTCGGGCTTTGTTATTATTTATTAATAACAAAAGATGTGTGAATGGAAGACGGTGAAGAAAGAATGAAGGGAAGTGAAATTTTGAATGAGTTCATTTTACTAATGCACTTTGTCCCTCATTGGTAGAAGGAAATAAAATCTTTGTGTATATATAGAGAAGCTCATCTTTTAGCTCTTAAAGAGTTAAGAAGAAGGCAAGCCTCGTGCCGTCATCGTCGCTCACTCGGCTTCGGCTTTGGTCAACGATTGATTGATTAATTTTTTTGGACAAAATTCTTTTCAAATATTTAATTAATTAATTAAATCAATTAGCGAAAATTCAATCAGGAATAACCCATGACCCGCGATCCGGTCAGGTTCAGCCCGTTTTCTTTCCCGGATTATTTTAAATCCGTTTTAATTTTCCCGCAATATTTCCAATAGCTGTGGCTGTTCTGAAACAGTATCAAACCTGTTCCAACAGCTATGGTTGTTCTGAAAGGTTGCAAACCTTTTCAGAAACAGTACCAAATTGGCTATAAATGTTTCTTCAAATCCCAGAATATTTACTTACGAAATTTTCTGATAATCTTCTTCTTCTTCTGCACAAAAATTCCAGTGTGTTTTACAGCCTTCGAGTGATTCGCTGTTCACCGGCGTTTTTGGTACCAACACTCCGGTGAGTTAAATCGTTCTATCCTAGAAGGATACATTCCAGAACCTCGGGTACTTGAGTGGAATAATTTTCTTGAGGACACACTGTGTATTCAGTGGGCTCGATTAGTTCCTATACGGTTTTCAAAATTTATTTTGAAGTTCAAATACTGTTTTCAAAATTTATTTCTACTAACTTTCTGTTTCTGTTTTCAGAAAGATTATTGTTTTATTTATTTAGAGATTAGTAACACTCTTTAATTTACACAGCTGAAGAGGGGCCAAGAATTGCAATACAAAGGTCATCATGTCTAACTTAATGCGAAAATAACACTTTTCTTAGAAAGGTAGGCAAGAGAAATCAAATGCATTCATCAAATTAAACGTCAAATTCGCTCTATATATTACAAGGCAATCCCCAGTCACCTTCGTCGAATGTAGTTTGTGTATCCTATGTAGCAAAAGATTAAGAAAATGAAAGAGAATATCACTATACTTGTTTAATATATACTGTCCTCTGAAAATTTAAGTGTTTAGTTTATGAGGGTGGCTACACTAATGAAGTAATATCTATTGCAGCTCTTCTAGGAGGAAAGGAGAATTGAGACGAGTAGTTCCATACTAAATGACCATTGATTATGTTAGATCATCTATATATATATATATATATATATATATATAT